ATATATATATTTATATATATAGATTCAATTTGTCATGGAACATAAACCTTTTTATCGTACTTACTGTAAGATGTTTGGACATACACTTGATAAATGTCACAGGCTTCATCCAAACTTGAAAGCTAAAGCTCAAGCAAACAAAGAGGGGTCTAACCCTATTGCTATGGACACATCTGCTCAATCTGTGGAGGAAGTTCCCACAAGATAGGATTTGCCTATGGATCACCCCCTTGCCAACACCGCAATTCCTGATGAAGAACACCATACTACAGGTACAAATCCAAATGTGTTTTACCACTCATTGTTATTGAAGAAATCTCACTTACATGCCAGGACACACGAGAATGCTCCTGCTCCCTTGATCCGATAAAAGATTAGCTTGTACAATAAGTAGTTGCTTCTATTGTTCAATAACTTACACATGTTCGACACACTTTAGACCAATCCACTGACCAGACTAGCCAATCTTCGGATGAGGAATGAAAAGTCTATTCTAGGAGGAAGAAGAAGAATGGAGGCAAACTCGAGCTAAGGAATTTATTGGATGATATATTGATTACTACTAACAATGACACTCATCTCACCAATTAATTAGCCGACTCCTTCCCTAGAACTAGAGGCAGAGGCAAAGCAAAATTGGGTCTCTCTTTAGTTACCTCCGGATTTTGACACTTTTTGGTTTTATTTTCTTTAGGTCTCTCATGTATTGAAGGCATGCTCAACTTAGTTTTTCATGATATTCATGCATTATTTGTTGATTTGAAATTTCAGCAAGCATATCTTAAGTTGTGGTGCATTATTCAGTTTTTGGTTTGGGAATGTCCGTGTGGCTTTTACTCTTTTTGTTAAATCATTTACTAATTGTAGGCATATATACTTTTGTTGGTTCAATTGTCATGGAGGCAATAACTCACATAAAATATTATTTTGATTTATGTTGTGCATGGATCTAAAAGTTTGGTGGAAGATATTAACACACTTGTTGTGCTTTAGAATTCATGTTAACCAAACACATGTAGGACTCACAATTTTTTTTTTGTGTTTTTTTTCTTAATATTCAACATGAAATTTTAAGTTGGCCATGTATTTGATGTAACTCTAGTCACCATAAAGTATTGCCACTTTTAATTAAGTTATCAAATTTGGTTTTGATGGTGGCTTGACCGAGAAAAATTGGTTCAAGTTTCATGATTTAGCTCAAAAATCATTATTTTTTTTGACGAATACGATTTTTCTACTTAATAATTGACGTCACTTTGAATATTTTGAGATTGTACTTAACATTGGAAGCAAGGTGTTTTAGTCAAAATCTAGGCATTGTTCCATACAATTTGGAAGTCGTTAAAGCTTACTTGAATGATTCTGTTATTTTTTTAGTTGTGTTGCTTATGGGGCTATTCTGGTAATTATTAAATCAATGGATCATTCTAATCTTTTTACAAAAGCAACGCCTAGGGTAGATAGTCAAGTTTAACTTATTTAATCTAGATAAACTTTATCCTTAATTTATGATCTTAGAATTTTGTTATTTTCATACAACAACAATAAAGCCTTAATCCCACTAATTGGGGCCGGCTACATGAATCATTTTTCTCCATTGCATCCTATTTACTATCTTATTTTCATTTAGTTCTAATAAATTAAGATCATTTTTTTATACAATAAGCTCAAGTTTTCCTAGGTCAACCTCTGCCTTTCTTAACATAAGTCGAGTCTAAAACATCTACTCTCCTAATCAGATCATCAGATGGTCAATGTTTAATGTGGCCAAATCATCTAAGACGACTCTCTAATTTTGTCCGTCACCAGTGCTACACCAACCGTATCCCAGATATATTCATTTCGCATTTTGTCTCTAAGTGTAAAGCCACTCATCCACCTAATCATTCTCATCTCGACAACACTTAGTTTTATGCTTCTCTTTTAAAGGCCACCATTCAACGTCATAGAGCATTGTAGGTCTCACAACCGTCTTATAAAATTTTGCTTTCAGTCTAAGCAATACTTTTTTATAGAATTTCTATCACACATCTATCACACAAAAGGCCCGAAACATTCCTCCATTTCAACCAACCAACTTGAATTCTACTATTAACATCCCCATCTATATCACCATCACTTTGAACAACAGACCCGGGATATCTAAATTGTTTTCACCTTTTAATAATATTATCCCCTAAAGTTGCACTTCTGTCACTAGAGCTACTACTATTAAAACCATATTCCATGTATTTAGTTTTAGTTCTACTCAAATGAAGGCCTTTCGACTCCAATGTAGACCTCCATAATTCAAGTTTTTCCTGGACTTTTTCTCTTATCTTATCCACGAGATGGATATCATCAGCAAAAAACATACACCAAGGTACATCCTCCTGTAAATGTCTAGTAAGACCATCCATAACTAAAGCAAAAAAGATATGGCTTAAAGCCGTTCCCTGATGTAATCCAACAGAAACAGGAAAATATTTGGTCAATCCTCTTTCAGTTTGAACACAAGTAACAACTCTAGTATACATATCTTTAATGACTTGAATATAAGTCATCTCAACACCTTTTTTCTTAAGAACAGTCCAAAGGACATCTCTTGGAACCTTATCACAAGCTTTTTTTAAATCAATAAAAATCAAATGTAAATTCTCCTTATTATCTCTGAACTTCTCCATCAAACCTCTCAATACCTCTCAATAAATGAATAGAGACCTGCCCGTGGTAGACCTGCCCGGCATAAAA